ATGGTAATGATACAACAAATTTTGAGGAAAGCTGGTACAAAGTAGCAGTTCCAGGTGCCCAGGGGAAACATCAGGTCCAGAACTAGAAAACAGTTGTGCAGCTTGGGCCCAGAGACAACAAAAACAGACCACAAACTTCCACATTTACTCCTTCCCTGTAACTTCGGTGAAGTTCAGAATAAGACCTAACTCTGGATCCCTATCTGTGGCTGAGCCTGAGCCTTATCTGTTTCATGTGTTTCTTGTCCTTCCCTTTATGTTTTTGTGGTCTCTTTTGTTTCCTAAGCATCACGCTGCAGCCCACATGTCAACACCAACATTTATATGGCTCATGGATTTGGACAGCCAGGGTGTTCCTGGGGTTCTGTGTGCCCGCTCAGAGGTTGTGGGTTCAGCCAGCAGGTTCCCATTCCCTTTAGCCAGGAGGGAAGGCAGGAGGGGCTGCTGTTCTTTCACAACATTTGGCACTGTGGAAGCCAAGTGCCCCCTGTGCTGTGGCTCAGCCCCACCCACCCCATACCTGCACACCACACTCGTTGAGCGGGTGGATGAAGAGCGGCTTGCGGTCAGGGCACAGGTGAGTGTACTGCTGGGAGAAATGGTCAGCGAGCTGCAGCAGCTCCTTTTCCTGCCAGGAATTTGTCTTGTACGAAGATGGTAAGTGGGATGTATCAATGGAGCTCCAGTCGAAAACACTTACGTGGCAGGGGGAGGCAGAGAGACACAAGGAATAAGTCAGGAGCAATACAGGCAGGATGATATCAAAACATGGCAGGGCTTCCCTGTTTCACAGGTAAAAAATGGGAGCCATATCCAAGGATATGATTTTGACATAGCCAAACATCTCTGGAGCAATGGCAAACTGGCACATAACCAGAGTCTTGGGGGATCTTTATACAGCGGTGAATGGATGCACCATCAAATGAGTTACCTTCTCTTACTTGCACACCCACACTTTTGTACAAACCCATCAGGCTCAAGAAACTTGCTCACTCCCATCACTGTGCAAGGGGATCACATGTGCCATCCACACGTGTGCAATCACCCTGTGGGGCCCAAAGGGGACATCTCTGCTCATCCCAGCCAGGGCAGAGACTTACGATTCATCACTTGCGACAGAGGCTTCCTCCACAGCTACATCTGCCTCCAGGTCATCGAGGAAATCACTGAAGATCTCATCTTCTGCTGTTTGCTCCACTTCCTCCGTCTCCTGCAGGGCCTCCATTCTGCCTGGCACTACAGGCATGCACACACCAAGGTGAATTCAGGGGTGGGACCAGCTACAAGGAACAGAGAAACACTCCCATTGCGGTCGCAGTGCTTTGGTACATGAGCATGGCTGAGGCAGCCAGAGCCATGAGAGTTAAGGGAGAGCGCTGAGTTAGGCTGGCTTTGGTCAATAAGTGGCTCCGTGTCCCAGGACAACCTAAGCGTGCGGAGCAGGCAGGGCCTGGCTCGGCAGGGCAGCGCACGGCCCCACATTGATTCAGCCAGTGTGCCCCGTGTCCTCCCTCCTGCCCGGGGGGCTGCTGGCGTGGCAGCAGCTCCATCAATCCCTCCATCAATCCCTCCATCAATCCCTCCATCAATCCCTCCATCAATCCCTCCATCAATCCCTCCATCAATCCCTCCATCAATCTGCTCCATCAACCCCTCCACCAATCCCTCCATCAATCCCTCCATCAACCCGCTCCATCAATCCACTCCATCAATCCCTCCATCAACCCGCTCCATCAATCCCTCCATCAATCCGTGCCGCAGCCCGCGGCCGCCCAGGGCCCTCGGAGGGAGCGGGGCCGCCCTGCGGAGCCGCAGCCCAAGGGCATCCCGGCCGCCTATCGCCGGCGCGGGCGGCGTTCGTGCGCCCGTCCCCGCGGTCAGGCTGACCCCGAGCGGGGCGCGGGGAGGCGCTGACCTTGCCCGGGGCCCCGCACCGCCCGGGCCTGCCCCGCCCGGCCGCCCCTCACCGGCTCCAAGGGCGGCGCGGCCGCTCCGGGCCCGGCGCGGCTCCGGGGCTCACCATGGCAACGCCGGTGCCGCGGCTCCCGGGACGGGGCCTGCGGCGGCTCCGGGACGGGGCCCGGCCGGGACAGCCCCGGGGTCCCCCCGGACCTCCCGCCACAGCCCCGGCCCGGAGCTCCGCGGGACCCCCGCGCTGCCCCGGCCCCGGCCCCACCGCCCGGCGCCTCTCCCGGCCACGCCCGGCAGCGAGCCCCGGCGCGCTGGGAGAGGGAACGGGGAGCGAAGCGGGGACAGCGGCCAGCCCGGCCCCGCACGGCCGAGCCCGAGCCTCGGAACCTGCTCCGAATCTCTCGAGTTCGGCCCTCGTAAAATAAAAGCCACCCGCAATCATCCCGTGTTGCAGAGGCACTTACCCAAAGGCTGGCACCTTGTTCTTTTTTTTTTTTTCTTTTTCTTTTCTTTTTCTTCTCCTTTTTCTTCTCCCTTTTCTTCTCCTTTACCATTTCCTTTTCCTTTTTATTTTTCTTTTTTCCTTTTTCGTTTTATATTTTCGTTTTCCTTCCCCCCCCCCCACTTAATTTCCTTTTTATTTTTAATTGGCAGCTCATTAGACTGTAAGCATGGGCAGATGCTAAACACTTTTCTGGTTTGTTGTTGTGGCTAAGAAAAAAATATGGATTGATGGATGGATGTTCACATTAGGCACTCTGTTAAGGACACCATAGCAATTAAAGCTTTGAGGATGCACAGACTGCAGTCAAAATATATCAAGAAGCATCATTTTCCATGATTAATGCTGTTTGCAGCTAGTTACTGTTGCCCAAATGGCATGAACCTCTATTGAGGGCAGGGGGCAAGGGTTTAGGTTGGATATTAGGAAAATGTTCTTTCCCCAAAGGGTGGTTGGGCACTGGAACAGGCTCTTCAGGGAAGTGGTCACGGACTCCCAAGCTTGCCAGAGTTCAAAGAACATTTGGACAATGCTCTGAGAGGCACAGGGTGGGACTGCTGGTCCTGTGCAGGCGCCAGGAACTGGACTCAATCCTTGTGGGTGCATTTCACATCTGGTATTCCATGAAACAAAGTGGGGTAGGACCCTCCATCTCTCACCAGTACTTCTCAGCAGTTCTTAAAAAAACAAACAAAAAAAACCAGATAAGGCAAATAGATGTTGTGGTTCCAAAACTGCATGTACTCAGCACCCAAAGTTATCTGGCCTTCGCGTGTGCCACTGTGGTATGTGTTGTTATTGCTGCATCAAAAATAGTTACCACGAAACCAGCTGTTTACCCAGACCCCAGATTCTGGAGGGTTTTGCTGGTACTCCCTGTTTGGGACCCTATCAGGGCTGTAAATTGGGTCAGCATCCACAAGCTGTTGGCTCGTTGGCACGGAGGATGGACCTTCAGAGTCCTTTCCTCGCCGGCCTCTGAGGGATGCTGAGCAGGCTCTTGTGCAATCCCAAAGGCTGATGTTTGCGTGGGGGAGAGGGATGAGCTGTTGGAATGCGATATAAGGCACACGGCAGAGGCACGGAGCAGCCCCAGCTGTGCTGAGCCAGCCCCGAGGGGAAGGGACCGGGCCAGCGGTGGATGGAGGAGCAGGGGGCAGCCTGGCAATGGTAAGGGGAGCAGAGCAAGGTGGGATGTCTCAGATTGCTGCATGGAGCAAGGAGCAGACGGGGCATGAACTCTTCTGTGCAGCAGTCTGGCGGTCACAGCTGCTCAGGGTCAGTGGAGGGGGTATGGGTGAGCTGTGGGAGGGGGCTTGTGGCACTGGCTTTGCCCTTCTCTCAGCACTGACAGAGCATTGCCCAGCCACCAGTCCTGGCTGACTTGCATCCACATCTCTGATAAGTATATGGTATCCAGGGCTGATCCAGCACTGTGCCAATAATTTCCCTAAAGAAATGCATTATCTGTATCAACAGAAGAGATTGTCTTCTTGACACTAATTTTAGTAGTGTTCAGAGCTTTGGATTTGGTTTATTATCCCATTGTCTCCTTGTTATAGTTATGATTTACAGGAACAGCGAGGATCCTTTTGCAAATCCTAAATCTTACAAAGAGCTGTAGTGGGAAGAGAGTGATTCCTTTTCTCTTTGAGGAGCCCAGACTGATGTCCCAGCTGTGCAGCTTTGCTCAAATTGCCACTGAGATGTGGCTTTACCACTGTCAGCACATCCGTCTGGGTCCCAGAGCTGTTTTCTCTCACCTCCTTTCTGGAATAGCTACCTAAATTCTGGATAGTGTTTGACCCCTGTGTTAGCCTGATGGGGGAAGGTTGATCTGGCCCTTTGGGGTGGGAAATTACTTTGGGCCATGGAACCTAGGAGATACAGTACAGAAATAATACATCAGTGCTTGAGGATTCAGCCTTTCTGAATGACTGCAGACATCTCCAGTGAGCATGGTAACAAATCCAAGTTATCCAAAGCCTGCTTGTTTTTCCAGGAAAGGATTGTGAGATGTTTGCTGCTGCTCTCTGTGCTCTGCCTGGCTGGCTGTGAAGGCAACAAGAGTGAGTCTCCCTGTGCTCTGTCCCTGCTGGGTCATGGATGGGTAGTATGGGAAAGGAAAGGTCAAACCTTCACCTGATCCATATCCAAGTCCCTCATTCAGGGCACTGCTGAAGGCTGTTAAGGAGGAACAATAGAATGGGGCTCAGGGAGGCAGGAACTGGGGTCCAGGAGCCAGCAAAATAGACAGAAACTGCAGGCTGTCCACCCCAGCCATAAAGGGTGTGTAAGCCATGGAAATGAGCACAGGTGCTGCAACGTGCCACCATGCTCCCTGGTGACAGTGACAGGCCCTAGCTCTGGTCCAGATTACAGACAGGCTGAGGAGGTCTCACAGCCTCCCAGCAAGCTGAGGCAGCAGGTTCTTCCTCAGAGGTGTCTGCTCTGGCTCTAGGCGAGGATCTCAGCCCCTGAGAGCTGTGCAGAGCTTCCTGCTGTGGGGTGAGTTCTCAAATCTCCCATCAGGGAGATATTCTTGCTGCATTTCATCTTTCTTGCCTTTCCTTTACTGCAGGTGAGCTGGCCAGCACCCGTGGCCTGATGCCAGGGGTTGCCTTCCGTGCCAAGAGGAGCCCAGATGCCTGCCTGCCAAACCCGTGCCAGCACCAGGGGCAGTGCCAGGTGACTGTGGACGGAGCAGTTTGCAGCTGCAAGCCAGGCTTCACAGGGGAATTCTGCCAAGGTAGGGCTGCAGATGCTGGTGAGCCCTCCCCAGTCTGTCCATGGGCACCAGAGGGAAGGGCGATGGGCACAGTGCACTGGTGTTCACATTGCTCTCCACCCCTGGAGTCCCAGCTCCTGGTTCAGGTGCATTCCACACCCCTACAACCATATCCTGGCTACAAGACCCAGCCACAGGCCATTTTCTTCTTCCCCAAAAGCCTTAATTCCTTGGCTGTGCCATGGTGTACAGGGCATGCTGCAGGGCACAGCTGCCTCACAGTTTCAGAACAAGCACATGCACCCTGGCACAGATACAGTGAAGGCCCTTCAAGACACTGGCCAAAAACTCTGTTTTCTTCCTCTGAAGGAGAGGGTCCCTGTCCCTCTGGTGCCCTAGACACACCGTGGGGGTTGTGTGGACAGCCCTCGAAAGGGACCAGCCTGTCTTCTGCCCAGTGTCTCTGAAGAGCCCTCAGCCTGCAGCAAGGCTGGGATGAGAGGCTGCTGAGCCCAGTGGGACTGTGCCACCCTCCAGCTGGCCTAGGGCTCCTTCAGGCCTCTCCCTTGTTGCTATTGCAGAGGGCTTTTTCCCCCCAGATGTGGTACTGAAGTTGGCCTGTGAGGAGGAGCACATGAAGATGATGGTGAGGAAGGAGGTGTTTGAGCTCTTGAAAATCCCACTGGAACTTGTCCACTTGAAGAACCAGGCGTGCAAGGTCTCTGAGAAGGAAGAAGAGGGTGAGCTGTTTTTCGCAGCCACTCTCACAGGTGAAAACCACACTGCCTGTGGATCAGTAATCCAGGTGAGGATCCATAGCTCCAAAGCCAGGAGAGAAGCAGACACGGTGAGGTGGGACAGCAATGGGCAACCACAAAAGCTTTTTCTTTTATATCTGGGTGCTGAAAAGTTCTCATTCCCCTTGAAAGTCTTCCCCTGAGGATGTCAGAAGGCTCTTCTGCCTCTACCAAACCCCTGCTGGCAGCACATTTGTCTTATTTAGGAGAGCTTGGAAGTCTCATTATGTGCTGGTAACAGCCCTCAGCTTTCTGGAGACATGCTGTGAACCCTGCAGCCCTGTCCCCTTGGTCCCCGACTTGCTTTGTGGAGCAGGAAGGGAGCAGACAAGGTGCTCGAGCTCTGCATTGCACAGAAGAGCCCTGTGCTCACTCACCTGTGCTCACTGTCCTGACTCCTGTGCCAGCAGCCCCCAGACCCAGGCTGAGAGCCCAGCAGATACCCAGGCCTGGAGCAGCCACAGCTGAGCTGTGCCTTCTGAACCTGCAGCTCTGTGTGTGGCTTTAGTCACGGTCTGGAGACTTGATTTCTGTGTTGTTCCAGCAAAACAGCTCCCATGTCTCGTACTCCAACGTCATTGAGTCGGAGCAGGAGGCGCACAGGGCCATGATCTCCCGCAGTTTCCAGCTGGAGGTGCACTTCTCCTGCATCTACGCCTACGAGCAGGTTGTGAGACTGCCCTTCGCTCTCACTGCTGTTGACAAGTGAGTGTCCCATTTCACCCTGCTGCTGACATGGTGTCCTGGAGCTTGGAGACAAGTAAATTCAGTGAGACAATCTGCAAAGGCCCTGGGGAGCCCTAGAGAGCTCTGAGAGCAATGCCAGACACTGGTGGCTTCACCTGAGCCATGTCCTTCCCACCTCCTTGTTCTGTTTGTGAGCTCTCATCCTCTCCTCTCCTCTCAGGCTGGTACAGCTTGTGGTCAGAGAAGGACACTTCAATGTCAGCATGAGACTCTACAAGTCCCCCTCCTACCTCGAGCCTTATCACCTGCCAAGTGTGGCTGTCCCCCTCACGGACACGCTCTATGTCCTGCTGAAGATGGAAGGGCAGCACCAGCTCAGGTATTTCCTGCTGAGTGTTTTGGACTGCTGGGCCACGCCGAGCATGGATCCGCACCAGGACACGCAGCACAAGCTCATTGAGCAGGGGTGAGTGGGGTGTCCCCGGCACATCGTCTCCTTGCACCACAGTGTGTCAAGGACTAGACAGAAATAGGCCTGCTCAGCCTGTGGGCTGCACCCATTCCCTGTGGGATGTGTTATCCAAGGCTGGGATGCTCCACCTCGTTTGCCACCCACTGATCCAGCCCTCATGTCCCAGGTGTCCCCACGACGAGACGGTGACCTATCTGAATGCCATTGGAGAGAGCACTGCTGCCAAGTTCAGCTTCCAGATGTTTCAGTTTGTTGGTTACCCTGAGGTGTTCCTGCACTGCCGTGTGCAGCTCTGTGTTCCTGACAGCCCAGAGCCCTGTGCCAAGGTGAGCTCCCCTGCTGCTCTGCACCTGCCTGGGTGGGTGTGGGACCTCCCTTCACTAGCTCTGCTTGGAGAAGGGGCTCTGCTCTGGCTTTGGGTGCCTCACAGAATAAACACCTCCAGAATCAGGAGCCCTGAGCACCAAAGGTACAGGGGCCTGAACCTACCAGAGACCTCCTTTCCCTCTTCCTGGGGAATGGAAGGGAGATCTCCAGCACAGCCCAGGTGCAGGGTGCCCTCCCCTGCCCTCCCATCACCCTTCCTTTGGCTTCTGTGACAGCAATGCCCCAGGCCCTGGAGGAGCAGGCGGGCACTGGCAGATGACTACAACAGGATTGTCTCCTACGGGCCCATCCTCCTGCTGGCTGCTCCTTCCTCAGGAGCAGAGATCCACCACTCCAGCACTGGCCAGCAGGACCCAGCAGGTATGTATGTCCTCCTGGGCACCGAGGTCGGTCCAGGAGCAGGGCTGGGGCCAAGCCCACCCATGGCATGGCTCAGAGCAGGCATGCATGCCGAGCTGTAGGCAGCAGAGGTGGCTGGAGGCCATTTGAGGTGACTGAGTCCTGTTGTGCCCTCAGAATCCCAAAGTACCCCCAGCTCCTGTGGCTCCTGCCTGTTACAGGAGATGACCTCCCTGAATCTGTTCCCAGTCAGGAGATGCTCACCAGGGCTCAGAGCTGGCTCAGGGGACCCAGATACACAACCAGTCTCTCTCTTTGGCAGGACCCAGCCCGTGGCTCTCCAGGGCCCTCATCCTGCTGTGCGTGCTGGCCGTGCTCACTGTGGCTGCTGCGGCCGTCAGCGTGGGGCGGCGAATGGCTTAGGAAACAGCTGTTTCCCAATAAACAGGACAGGAGCAGAGAGGCTCTTGCTGTGTCTTTGTGGGTGTTTTGGGAAAGGGGGTAATGGCTGGCTGCAAACAGTGCTTGAGGGATGAGGTGCATCACAGGGTTTCTGTTCCCTGTAGCATCTCTTGGACCTTCTCCCCATAGTCTCTAAACCCAGAGTATGTACCCAGGGATGGGAGAGTCCTTCCTCCTGCTTCCCTCTTCCCCACAGAGTCACCCTGGTGTGTGGGGAGATGGAAGTACCCCACTCTAGATACCTGCCCTACCAAAGCTGGTCTTTGCAGAGTTCTGTGCCACACAAAGGCAGCATTAGCAGAGAAAGGGCTGCCTTGTGCATGCACATGGTGTGTGGGCACCCATCCATAGTGATTTCTCCCTTCATTCATGACATTTCTCTTTTCATTCGTGGCAAATGGCCAGCAAGACTTTGCCCATTGATACATCCCTAATAAAAAGCAAATAACAAACAATAATGTAGGTATTAAAGACTAAATTCACAGTGCTCAGACATCTGGCAGGGATTTAATACCAAAACAGATCAGGAGAAGACAGCAGCTACCCTGCAAGGTGGCTGTATGTGCATTTTGGCCAGAGCACATTGTCCATAAGGGAATTGCTGCTGGCTCCAGAGGCTGTTTGGCAGGAAGGACACACAGCACATCTCTGCCAGAGAGCAACGAGATGTTTGGCAAAGAAGCTCATGGGTTTCCTCTTCTTTTTGCTGATTCCCAGAGGCAAACCTCCCACATCTGGGCTGCAGCAAATCAATCCTCTCCCTCCAGTGGCAGGAAACTCACTGCTGGGCTGGTTCAGCACCAGAAGCCACCTCTAGCAAAGAGGGTGATGGGTCCATCGTGGCTGAAGGCAGGTGCTTTGTGAGATTCCTCCTTGTGCCCTGGGAAATGAGATCAGGGGCATCTCAAGACCATGGAGCTGCAGGCTGGAGGGACTTTGCAGAAGCATCATCTCTGGAGCTCCTTCCCAGGGCTGCCCACCAGGAATGAAAGGGACAAAGCAAAGAGCCCTGCTGAGGTGGATCATGCCCACTGAAGGGTAAACTGAGGCACTGTTAGCTGATCTCTCCCTGTGTTAGGAAGCTGCATCTGCCAGGATCGCTCTCGGTGGATGCAGGTGCAGCCAGGAGCTAGTCCTGGGAGGCTGTGGTGTTTTTGTCATATCTGATGATGTTGGAGAGGGAACCAGTGGTCTCCTTTGTCTTTGGGTAGTAGAGAACAACCAACCAGATGAATATGAAGATTCCTGCAGGGAAAGGAAGACAAACACTCAGCAGCAGCAGGAGACAATGGGAAGCATCTTGTCAGAATGCTAATGACACTTTTCTTCAGCTTCCAGGGGGTTCCCTCAGCTCACTCCTGTCTCTCCCCCTCCTTCACATGAACCACTTGGCTGGGACGTGCCCTGAGTGGATAATGCCCCTAGTCCTCTGCTAAGGAATGTCTTTCTTGGAGGAAAACCACCACGGGTGGAGTGGATGTAATTGGGAGCCATGAGCAGCTCCTTGCTGGTGGTTGGGACCTCCTGCTTGATGTGCCCTGACAAGAGGAAGGGTATGACAGTGCTGGGAAGACACTGGTGCCTTGGGATCCCTTGTCAACCCACAGCCAGGCTGGCTTCTGCCTCCTCCATCTTCTCCACCCAAGCCCAGGGAACCCAGCTCAGGGTGAGTGCTGACCTTGGAGAGAGTTGAGGATGGTGAAGAGGTAGAGCACAGCTGTGGAGGAGATGCCATAGGTGAGGAATACCAGAGCCCAAGTGGCTCCCAGCAGGCAGAAGAGCCCTGCTGCCACCAGAGCCACCCTCCAGGGCTTATGGTATCCCTGCACTGCCCCCGTGCCCTGCAAGCTGCAGCTCTTCTGGGTCACCACCCCAAAGACAGCCATGTTGAAGAGGAAGATGAGGCCAAAGTAACCACAGTTGGTGATGTAGTGAACCAGAAGATGTTTGGAAGTGATCCAGCATCTGAAAAGAGAACCACAGTGCCTCTAGCAGCCCTGCAAGCCTCAGCAGCACCCATGGGAGCCTTCCCCTGGCAGGATTTTGCAAGGCCAGGGTGAAGCAGGGGCACAGCGGTGGGTATCCACTGCCCTCGTGTTGCTCAGCTGGGAGGGAGCCTGGACAAGCTCCAGGTGGGCCTTGGACATCCCTCCATGACCTGGAGGGCTGCAGGTGTGACTGAGGAGGCTCAGCATGAGCTGGGGGTGGCTGATGTGTTGCAATCACAAAGAAGGAAGCAGAAGCAGAGGCATGGTGCAAAGCCAAACCAGATGGGTGCAATCCCTGACCACTGCACTCCTGGCAGGACTGAGCTGCCCCTCCCTGTGCCACAGGGCCACCTGAGCCCTGTGGGCAGTGGCACACGCACAGGTGGGCTATGACCTGGTGGTCCGTGGTCTGGATGCTGTATTCTCCATAGCTGCCAATAGCTCCTGCCACTCCCACCACGAGAACAGGGAAGCCTGGAAGAAGGGAGACACAGTCACAGGATGGTTTCAGTTGGAAAAGACCTCTAAGGTCATCAAGAATCCACCCATTAACTCAGCACTGCCACAGCCACCACTAAATCACATCCCCAGGTGCCACACCCACACATCTTTTGAACCCTTCCAGGGATGGTAACTCCACCACTGCCCAGGGCACCCTGTCCCAGCACCTAACCACCCTTTCAGTGAAGAAATTTTCCCCAGTATCCAATCCAAACCTGCCACTGCCCCTCTCCACCCCCATTTCCCAGCCAGGCTGCTCACCCCAGCCAACCAGGCACAGCTTTGCCAGGTAGTGGTGGATGTAGATGCCGAGGACCTTGACGAAGAGGAGGTAGAGCTGGCAGCCCTCCAGCGCCGTCCAGGTGAAGCAGCAGAGCAGGCAGTAGTGGGTGAGCCCCCCCAGAACCCCACAGGTCCTTGGCTGGGCCCTGCCAGAGAGCCCACTGCTGAGCAGGAAGGCCAGGTTGAGGAGGAACAGGCTGCCCACGAGGTTCACGTGCAGCCCCAGGTTGGTGCGGACGGTCTCCTCAAACCTGAACCTGCACCTGAGTGTCCCCACAGGGACCAGGAGAGGCAGGGGTCACAGGTGAGCAGGGCCTTGTGCAGCACAGCAGGTCCATGCAGAGGCCCTGGCACTGCCTCACGTCTCTCCCAGCCTGGCAAGCCCCCCTGGGGGCACGTCCCACCTTACAAAGATGCAGAAGGCCATGGTGAGGATGCAGAAGGCCATGGCTACCCCACAGCCAGCGGTGGCAACAGCCATCAAAGCTTTTGCTGTGGAGCCATCCAGAGCTGGGTTCTGCCAAACATGCAGATGTCGGGTTAGACAGGCCCTGGAGTCTAGAAAAGCTGACTGCAGGTAGCAGAGCCATGGGGATGATAACCCCATGGCTGCTGCAGAGACCCCAGACCAGCCCCAGAAGATCTGCAGGGGAAGCAGGGCAGTGGTGGCTCACAGGAGGTGCTCTGAGGTGGGGTGAGGTGTGGGTGAAGTGGGAGTCTCCACCAGGATCTGGGACCTCAAGCCTTGTTCTGCCAGAGCCTGCACAGAGCTGGGGCCTTTTCCAGCCTTCCCTGCTGCTGCCCTCCTGAGCTGGGGCTGGGCTTGGTTTTGGGAGCTCAGCTTGCCCGAGAACAGCTATAATTGTCCCTGTGTGGCTCCTCATGACACCCAAGGGATCACAAGAGTGGGCAGGCAGCACTGCCAGGGCACAAGCAGGAGCTGCAGGAAGGGGGATCATCACCAGGAGGAGGGTGAAGAAGGTGAGGTGGTCACAGGAGCAGACTGTCCCCTTGTCCCCGGGCTGTGTGACACATCCACTGCTCTGCCAGCCTCCTGCCTGCCCTGCAAGAGGCACGGGGAGCGCTGTGAGTGCTGGAGCAGCACCCGTGCCCCAGCCACACCGCCCCGAGCAGGGCACACCTTTGCTGGGATCCCAGAAGACGCATCGGGGGGTGACACCCTGCAGTGGGGGACAGCAGCATCAGCCTCTGCCTCGGGGAGGGGCACTGCAGGCAGGGGGGGGCAGGCAGGGCTGGCTTACTCGGGGCAGCTCCCTGTGGGCAAACGTGAGCTGCACGGGCTCCTGCAGCCCCGAGATGCTGCTCTCTCCCACCGTGATGCCCACCACGGTGCTGTCCAAGACCTGCGCTGTCTGGTTGATTTCCTGTGGAGGGGAAACCCTGCAAGAGCTGAGCTGGTGGGTAGCAGGTGCTGGTGGCAGCAGGAAGGATGCTGGCAATGCCAGCCTGTACCTTGAACATGCCAAGCTGCTGGATATTGAGGACTGTCACCACCACACGCACTGTTTGGCTACTCAGGGACCGGAATATCTCCCTGGGGAGGTGGATTTTACCTGCCTTCCCTTTCTCTGAAGTGTTCAGCCTGCTGGGGCCCTGCAGCAGAGAACAACAGTGGGAGGTTGTTGCTGCCGGGTCACATCTCTGTTCAGAACCCACCAGTCTCGCTCCAGGCATGAATTCAGCCCTGCTCAGTTGGGTTTGCTCAGCAACATCGGCAGGAGCCCTGAGGGCAGAAGGGAAGAGCCTCCTTCCTCGCACCCAGCATCTCTGGGGACAGAGCTGGAAGTGGGACCCAGCAGATTCTCTACCCACCATCACCCACACGTGGTCCCCTGGGACATCAAGAGCCTGGGAGGGCCTCTGGGTGGGCAGGAGGCACAAGGTCACACATGTGTCTCCTCCTTTCCTACCTCACACTCCCCCTGACCACCTGGTCTGCTGGGATGGCTCCTTGGGGAGGGCTCTTTCCTCCCAAGCACCACTTCAAGTGACTCCTTGCGTGTTGAAATTGATGTGGGCCCATGATGCAACCCCACAGGGAGGGGGAAGAGCACAGCAGGGACACCAAGCCCTGGGGCAGGGGCTGAGGGATGCTTGGAAGGTCCCACACCTTCCAAGCAAGGGAGAGGGAGGGGCACATCTCACCGCTGTGGGGGAGAAGGTGATGAGGACGTCACGGGTGACAGCCCTGCTGACATTGAGGAGCAGAGCCTTGAGCCCAGCCGGCCAACTGTGCTGCCCCGACTGCAGCAGCCTGTGGGACAAGGGGGCTGTGGGACAGGGGCTGTGGGGACTGAGCCCACCAACCCTGGCACGGCCACTACCTGAACCAGCGCTCCCTCAGGCAGGAACAAGCGCGGCTCCCGGGGCGCCACAGCTCCGGGCAGTGCTGGGACAAGCGGAGCACACCGGTGATGTTGTCTGGGTTTTGCTGCTCCACTGCCACGCTGCAGCACCCACGGGGCTGATCACCCCGGTGCAGGCCTGGGGAGGGTGGGAGCAGGTGACCACTGGGCACCACGGCACTGGGTGGGCACTGGGAGCAAGGGCAGGAATGGGAGGAGAGACTCACCAGAACAGCTGTCCTGTCCTTCGGCAACATCTGCAAAGGAGAATATGGAGAAAGAGGGGAAAACACTGAAATCTAGGGCCAGCCCTCCCTCTGTCCAGAGGGAAGAGAAGGCAGGAGAGTCTGGCGGCCACCAGGTTTTAAAGGAACACTCCCGCAGTTACATGGGCTTCAAAAACACCTGGACAGCCATCGGAGCTGGTGAGGGCAAAACCAGCATGCCAGAGTGGCTCACAAAGGAGATCCTGGACTGCTGATCCCAGGTTTTAAAAAAGCCCCCAGCAACAAAGCCCCCAGCTCTGCTCACCTCTGCACATCCCAGTGGGGATGCTCTCCTCTTGCCTATCCACCTTTCAGGATGAAATCCCCACATGGTCTTTCGGTGAACACCTTCCCATGGGAAAACCTTCCCACAAAGCCCATGCACCCCCTGTGCTAAGGATGCCACTCACCAGGCAGCAGCAGGAGCAGCAGGACAGTGCCCAGGAACAAGTTCATGCCACTTTGTGGGGTCTCCTGGCTGCCCCTGGCCATCCCACCACACTCTGCTCCCCTTGTCCCAGCAGCTCTGCTCCTCCCCAGGTTCCCCCAGGGTTTGTGGGCGCTTCCGAGGCAAGAGCCGTTCCTCATTTCCCTTATGGGAACCCCTCACGCCTTCCTGTGGGCTGGCAAGTGACCTCCTGTCCCAGCTCACAGCAACGGCCGCCAGAGCCGCGGCGCTTCCGCCGTGGTTCCTTCCCGTGACCAACCCAGTGCTTTTTGCTGTCCCTTTCTCCCCACACTCCTGCCAAGGGGTTGTTGGCCCTAACCAGCCCAGCAGGTGCTGGAGCATCCTCATCCTAAGCTGGGCATCACTACAAGCCTCCAGGATGAAACATCCCCTTCCTGGCAAGGTGGCTCCTGCCCCAGCTGGGTGCTGGAAGCTGGATGGAGGGGGATGATCCACAACCAGCTGGAAGGGGAATGGTGGGATGGGAAATGTGGTGCTGTGTCTGCAAAAGCCACAGCCAGGACAGCCAGATTGGCCCCACAGCCACTGAGGGGATGATTCCCATCCTTTGATGTCTCCTTCTTCAGATCCCTGTCCTCCACCAGCCTCCCTTTCTGCTGGGTAGCGACAGTCCCTGGAGTCTTCCCAAGCCATGGTACCTCCCTCCATAACCCCAACCCCAACATGGGGGCACCAGGCAGCCAGTGCTCTGCCAGGAGCACCGTTACTGGTCCCACTATCCTCAGCAGGATCCTACAGGGTGAAATGCCAGGTCCTGAATGCCCAGAAATGGGATAACCCAGATGAGAGATGGATCCCATCAGAGCACCCACCAATGCACGGAGCAGAGACCCCAGTGAGCCACACTTGGAGAGGAAGAACTTTAATGGGCACAAGTTTGGTGTGCAGGCATGCTCACTGAACTCCTACATCACCCAAAAATAGACATTCAACAAAATAACAAAAATAGATTATTTCAGCTGCCTGAGAGTGTGGCAGGGGCAGAGTCATTCTATCTTCCCTGGAGAAGGACCCTTATGGTGACCATAACCAAGGGCTGAAAACTGGGCCTTTCCCACCCATCACTCCTGGCCTCAGGACATGGGAGGGGACATCCAAAGGCAGTGGGGACCCCGCCCCTTCCACTTTTTACAACCCCCATTGCCCAAGTAAGCATCTCTCCCTCCCTCCTTCCCTCCTGCCCCAAGGGTGCCAAGCCAGTCAGGATGAGAAAATTGGGGCGGGGGTCAGCAGAGGGGGGGTGGCTGGCCCCACTGTGGGTCCCGGGGCTCCTCATGGCGCTACAGGGCAAGCGCAGTAGCAAAGCAGTTGGTGTGGTCCTTCTTGTGGCCGTCCTTGGCATGGGGAACTCTGGCACAGCACGGCCACCACGGGGCTCAGCTGCTGCTGGGCTGCAGCTTGGCACTGTCAGAGCTGCTCTGAGAGTCAGGGGACTTCCTCGCCTGCAGCACCATGGTCCAGTACCAGAGGAAGATGAGGAAACCTGGCAGAGGGGAGAGGAAGCATGGGTGAGCTCCCTTGAGGGACAAACCACAGCTGAGAGCGAGCCACCCAGCCTGCCAGAGCTCCTCTTGCACACCATCAACACCCCGTGAAAATCCTGCGCCACAGGCTCACCTTGGAGGGAGTTGATGATGGTGAAGATGTAGAGGGAGACAAGGCAGAAGACACCAGAGGTGAAGGAGAAGAAGATCAGTGCCCAGGGGATGCCCAGCAGGATGCTCAGCCCAAAGAGGGCCAGGACGTGCTTGAGCTTGTGACCCTTTTTGTTCTGCCGGAGGATCTCCCGTACCATGGCCCCCAGCATGACCGAGTTAAAGAGGAACACCAGGCTGAAGAAACCCAGGTTCACGGTGTTATGGACCAGGGGGCTCGTGATCCAGCACCTGGAGGGAGGAGAAAGGGCAGAGGGTTATGCTGTGTCCACCCACGGGGTCACAAGGAGGGGCTGGGAGAAGAACAGAAGTGTGGTGCCAGCCCAGCACCCAGGGAAGGGGGATCCCCCAGCACACAACCCCAGGAAAGCCCCAGGCCATGGTGAAGGTTTAGCCAGCTGACTTTACCTACGACCAGAGACCAGTAACCCATCTCCCATGACCTACATGGTTGCGTTGGTGGTTCTGCCATCCATGGATTCATAGATGGGAATGGAGACGGGGCCGTAGTTTGCCCAGCTGGCCAGGAGGATCGTCATCACGCAGACCAAGGGGAGTCCTGAGTGGAAAGAGCAGAGTGAAGTGGCTGCCCTACTCCCTGGCCTTTGGATCTGCTGGAAGGACTTGCTGGCCCTTTCTCCCTGTGCAGAGCACAAGCCAGCCTCCCTCCCAAAGGGAAACCAGGGATGGAACACACAGCAAGGGCAAATGCCCCAGCCAGAGAGGAAGCGGTGCTGTGCTGACCCCAGTGGGACCTCCCAGGGATGTGGAGCTTTAGGCCATAAAAGATCATAAGGTCTTAGGTCTTCCTGCATGACCTCCAGCCCAGAGCATGGCAGAGAAGCATGGGCGCTTCCTGCATCCAGCCCTGGGCTGTCCTGGATGTTTCTTTCAGAAAGAAAGGATCCTAGTACAATTTACAGATCCCAAGTGGTGGCTCTCACAGGTCTCCATTTCTGGAAGATCCCCCAAGATGATCCACCCTTGCTTTAGCACCAGCTTCTGCTCTCAGCCTTCAAGTCTCCTTCTCCACCACGGCTCTTGACAGCTGCTCCCCCACAGCTGGCTCTCCATCCCCATCCCAGCATCACATCCAGCGGGAAAGACCTGCCCAAGTGCCCTCAGGGTGTCTCACCCCAGCCAACCAGGCAGAGCTTGAGGAGGAAGTGGTCATGGTAGGCGTTGAAGACCTCGATCACCAGCCGGTAGAGGTTGTAGCCCTCAATGCCCATCCAGATGAGGCAGCTCAGGAGTGAAAAGTGCAGAAACAGCCCCCCAGCTCTGCAGATGGCCTCGCTGCTGCTGGCAGCCAAGTGCTCGGAGATGAGGAAGGTGATGTCCAGGAGGAAGATGGCGGCCAGCAGGTTCATGTGGATGTGCATACTCGTGATCTGGTCTCGCTGTTTGCTTCTGGAGAATCGAAGGGAGCAGAACTCACCACCGTGCCTGGCCAGCACCAGTGGTGCCCACAACACCCCACAGCCCTGCATGGGGCAGCTTGCCCCAGCAGAAGAGCAAGGAGACTCTTTGGTAGTGCCAGGGACTGAGACAACCCCACAGGTGGGACCACCCATCCCACATGCAGATCCAGCCCCCTGCTGCTGACCCTGCATTGAAGATGCTCAGAGGGCTGAAGCACTTTTCCTGTGGAGATGGGCTGAGTGAGTTTGGGTTGTGCAGCCTGGAGAAGGCTCCAGGGAGACGTTAAAGCACCTTCCAGTGCCTAAAGAGAGCTGGAAAGGGACTTTAGAAAAGGGCATGGAGTCACAGGACAAAGGGGAACGGCTTCAATCTGAGGGCAGGTTTAGTTTAGATGTTCAGAAAAAATTCTTTCCTGTGAGGGTGGTGAGGTCCTGGAACAGGTTGGCAAGAGAAGTTCCAGGGATGCCCCATCCCTGGAATTTTTCAAGGCCAGATTGCATGGAGTTCTGAGCAAGCTGGTACAGTGGAAGGTGTCCCTGCCCATGGCAGGGGGTTTGGAAATGAATGATCTTTCAGTCCTTTCCAATCCAAACCATTCTATATTTTTCTGATTCAAAGATTTCAGGTCTGAATCATCCACTTAGGATCAGTGACATGACTCAGGAGAAGACACTCATGTTCTCCTCCAGGTCCTTGAAAAGACCTTTGCAGACTTCTGCTTGCTGTATCCATAACAAGCAAGAAGATTTCCCAAAATCATTGGAAAGAGCTGGTGTTCCTGAGCACTCTGCAGGAGACCTGACCAAGAGGGTGGATCCTGGACAGGAGAATTCTGCTTTCTTCAAACAAGGCTCCTTCATGATGCTTCTATCCAGGCCACCAACTGCTTGTGGAGCTTGTGCCCACCCAGGGGTTCATGGCCAGGGACAGGACACAGACAGGGAGCGTGGGGTGAACCATCAGACTGTACCTGAAGTAGAGGAAGAAGATGGTGCAAATGGATGCCAAAGCCGAGATCAGGCAGCCAATGTAGGTTATGATACTCAGGTAATTCCTGTGCACAGAGGTGATCTCTGGAGAGGATACCTGAGGAGGAGAAGGAATGAGAGATGGTGAGGAAGAGCACCACTGGGAATTACGTGAGGGATCTGAGGGAAGGTGCTACCCACCATGAGCACAGCAAAGTAGGTGAGGTGGTTGCACCTGCACTCTGTGTGGCTGCTCCCTGTCACTGTGGTACACCCATAGCTGTCCCAGCTCCCAGAACTGGCTGTGCAAGAGAAAGGGAAAGCATCTGGTGAGCAGCAGGAACCTCTGTCACGGGCTAGAGGATCTTCAGGGCAAGCTGTCCATGGAAAGAGGGAGAACAGGAGTGGGGGGTCTCAGCTTGTCCCAGGCCAAGCACATGTACTCAAATAGCCCCCTCAGTACAGGAACCCATCCCTAGGGAAGGGGAAAGCTCTTGGGCTAGCTCTGGAGGGAAAAAACTGACATCAGCCCCGTGGGAATGGCTTACAGAGATGGAGTGGGGAAGGGAGGTGCAGAGCGACCTTCACCCTGCTGGTGGGGCTGTGCTACCTTGGGAAAAGGGCCTGACTCCACACCCAAGGGCAGGGCCACTCACCAGCGGTGTCCTCCTGCCAGAAGACGCACAGTGGGGTCACGTTCCTCTGCAACGACAAAACCACAGGCCCTGGTCAGGATGCAGCTGCGGGTTTGCTGCCTGCCCAGCACTTCTGATAGGGGACAACATGGGGCAGGAGACAAGATGGTCTCAGGGGACAAGGTACAACTTGGATAAACCAGACCGCCCCAATGATGGGAGTGGGCTCCAGGCAGAGAGCACTCCGTTAACAGCTGATGGAGCAGATACCTCCTTACAGATCCTCTTTCCCAAACAAAGGGGTCACCTTTGAGCAGGCACCTGACAGAGCCATGAATGAGCCAAGGGCCTACTAACACAGCCTTGGTGACAGTGCTGGATGTGACACATCTGCCATGAGGCATCTCCTGGAGAGGGGAAGGCAGTGCCACCACCAGCGCACACACTGAAGCCATGACTGCGATACAGCCCCAGAAGCCACAGCAGACCCTGCACAGGCTGGCCATGGGCATGGACCTGCTGGATTGTGACCCCACCCTAAGCTGGCAGGGGCTGAGCCCTCCTTCCCCCTCCATTCCTGCTGGGATCAGGTTCTGTGAGGCTGTTTCCCACCTACCGGCAGCTGGTCATGGAAGAAAGTGAGGACCACTGGGTCGGAGAGGTTGGCCACCACTGTGTCCACCAGGGAGATGCTGACTACCTTGTCACCCAGGACGTGGCTGCTGTTTTCATCCTGTTGGAGAAGAGGAGGCAGTGGCAGTGTGGGAAAGGAGAGCAGCCAGGTGTGAAGCAGAGGAGAGTGCCCAAGAAGAAGATCCCGTGACTTTACCCATCAAGCTTGTAGCTCATCTTCGAAGCATCTTCCCCCAGTGAGCACCAGTGCCCTGGTCTGGTGGCACCCCTGCAGCCCAGTACCATGGGACACCCAGCATGCCATTCACGTGGGCATTACCTGGAACATGGTCTGCCTGTTGATGTCCATGAGGAGCACCCTGTGCTCCACCACCTCCTCCCTCTCCTTCACCATCATGAACAGGCTGCTTGGCAGGTCCACCGTGAATCTCTGGACCTCTCCACTCTCCTGCCAAGAAAGACTCATCAGGAAAGTGGTTGAGAGAGAGCATGATGGGCCAAGAGCACCAGGGCAGACTTTCCAGGACCCACCTCTCTCTGGGAAGCAAAGGTCAGGTGCTGAGGAGCCGGGCTGGGCTGGACCCTCAGGACGGTCGCGTGCACAGTGGCCTCCCCAAAGGTCAGGTTCTGCCCTTCCAGCTCCACCTTGGCCAGCATCTTCTCCAGCTCCCCAAGTTTGCTGTTGGGGAAGGGGCACAGTGAGCTGGATGCAGCGGGCATGTGTTGGCAGCAGCAGGAACGGGGCGAGCTGGGAACTCACCGCCGGAGCCTCTGCCGCTCCGTGGCTCCCGTGGCTGCAGCCAGGGGCTGGGCAATGAGGTTGTCCAAGGCAGTGAGCTGCTTCTCCACATCCTGCTTCCAGACAGGCATGCTCCCTGGAGAGGCTGGTGGAAAGCAAATGCCATTAAATCATGGGCAGAATTGGCTTCCTTATGCCCCAAACTAACTGGCAGAGCCCTGGTGGGAACAGAAAGCAGAGTGATCCCAAGCTGGGAAAGCTGGTAGTGACCCCAGCCCACAGGGCTTTCCTGCCACCCACAACTCAGCTCCCACTGAGGCCATGTGTACCTCATGGTGTAGACTGGACCCTGAGAAACCACTGCAAAGTCCTCAGTTTTATAGGATTTTAGGCAGCATTTTGAAATCTCCACCTTTAGGGATGCTGGGTATCAGGCCTGTCTTTGGGCTGCTTCAAGAAAACCTACATCCCCTTCAATCACCCTTCAGCTATCTTCGTATCTCCAGGCTAAACATTCACTGGGAAATAACCAGTGTGCCCTGATGATGATTAGGGAACAGGCTGGGGATTAAACAACCTTTTAATTTCCTTCAAATGGCATTAAGTTGCATTTACCAGGGAAGACGTAAAGAGCTTTAGCATCCAGGGAGGTGTTCTTCCCGCCCTTTATGATATAGGACACATTGAAGATATTGGCTCTGGTTCTTTTAATCTTCTGACTCTCCTGTCCCAGGGAGATGCTGCTGGGTGGGTTCCCACCCAGGGAGATGTTGCTGGGTGGGTTCCCACCCAGGGAGATGCTGTTCTTCCCATACACCAGCCGCAGGGTCCTGTTGGACTCAAACCAGAAGATGCAGAAGCGGTACCTGCCCAAGGTGCGGGCCAAGCTGTACTTGCTTTGAAAGTTTCCCCTGTTTGGCACAACGGGCCCTTTTATTATCAGTTCCTGGGCTGTGTTCTCGATGGAGATGTTGGTGGGGCTGTACTGGTAGATGACAGAGCTCTCCTGGGTCTGGTTTCGGTCACCACAGAAACGAAAATCCTCTTCCCTGTGGCCATTGGCTCCCACCCCTGCATTGTACAAGCGCAGAGAGAGCGGATCAGCTGCAGGGACAGCCAGCCCTGCAAACACTGCAGCCCTGCAGCAGCTGTCACACGTGGCATGCCAGGCTCTCCACCCCAGTTATCCCAACCCTGTCCCACAGGCTGAGTGACACCAGCCACGTCCCCAGTGTCACAGCCATGCTGCAAGGATCTGCCAGGGCCATTTGGGCAGCAGGACCTCCTGTCTTTCAGGGACACTCTCTCCCATGTGCCACCACCCACATCAGCAGATACTGAAAGAGGACCTGTCCATTCCCAGAAGGGATGGATGGAGGCCATCTCCTTTCCCTGGAAAGGACACATTCTGCCAAGAAAACCACCAGAGGCACATCATCCTATGAGATGTTTTACTTCTGTGGCAGCTTTGGTTGCAAACATCTCATGGTGTCCCCCAGCCAATGTTTTGGTGCTGCCAGTTAATCCCAGCAGCCCAAACCCAGATCACCATCCCAAGGCTGGACATTCTACCTTGGTGGAGGAAGAGAAGGAGCAGGAAGAGGACCTTCATCCCGGGCAGCTCTCTGCTTTGGCTTGGCCTTCAAGGACACGGCAGAGCCTGAAAGGGAACAAAGGGAAGGGGCAACAAGAGTATTTGAGTATCCCCTCTGCCATGGGGACAGGGATGGAGAGCAAAGGCTGTGCAAGTGGGACACCAGCTGGTGTCACAGCCAGCTCCCTATTGCCTCTGCCTCCAGGAGGAGCCAGGACCACTGGGCATCCAAGCTGGCTGTGGGCTGGAAGGATGACAGGGGCTGGAAGGATGGCAGGGGCTGGAAGGATGGCAGGGGCTGGAAGGATGGCAGAGGCTGGAAGGATGGCAGAGGCTGGAAGGATGGCAGAGGCTGGAAGGATGGCAGAGGCTGGAAGGATGGCAGGGGCTGGAAGGATGCAGGGGTTGGAAGGATGCAGGGGCTGGAAGGATGCAGGGGTTGGAAGGATGGCAGGGGCTGGAAGGATGGCAGGGGCTGGAAGGATGGCAGAGGCTGGAAGGATGGCAGGGGCTGGGAGCCCCTGAGCTCTTAGCATGGAGAGGGTGCCCGACCACTCCAACCAAAGGAGGGGTCCCCTCTTCCTCTCTCAGCTCCACATCTCAGTTAACGCCCTGACTTGTTATCATAAATGACAGGAACAGAAGGAAACTGTGGTTTCCTAATTCGCCAGCCCTGAAAATATTTTATTGGATGCTTTCAGCTCCTGCAGATTAGCTGAGGAGCTGGGCACATTGCAAACCACTCCATCATTTCAGCCTGCAGAAACAGGCTCTCCCAGGCACATCCTGGCAACACCAGCACAGCAGCCATGGCTGCCCAAATCTGCTGCTCACAACCAGCTGGGCCACATCCTGCACAGTCCCTTTGCCCACCATGATAAAGGGCTTCTGTGACCTACACCCAGGCCAGCACTGAGCACCCTCAAGTGCTGCCACACCCCTGTGCTCACCCAGCCACAGACTTCGCAGATACAGCCCTTTTGCTGTGCTTTCTGCCTGCTCAAGGCCACAAATTGACCAAGTGTCACCTCCTCCTCACCCTGCTGTCACTTCAACCATGGGACACACCCTGCAACCAGCAGAAGCCCCCGCAGAGTGGGACAGCACTGGTGGGGGCTGCCAGAGCAGCTGGCCCAGCCCAACCCTTGTCAATGCCCGAAGTGAAGCCAGCACCACTGGCCACTGCTGCATGCCGCTCCTGCACTGCTCTCCAACACCCCTCAAAACTCACAACCAGGTCAAGTCCTGGTTTGTTTGCTCTGAGTTGTGCCAGGGCACCAACCAGCATCACCTGCAAAGGCTTATGAGCGCTCCCATATGCTCAAGGGTCATCAGATGTTTAACAATTCATTAGCGCATTTCTCTCAGCAGCACGGGCTTTGTCTGGAAGTTTCTCAAACCAGAACAGATCCTGCACGGGTGTACAGCAAACTCTGCATCCTTCCCCGTCTGTTTCTTGCAGCAATTTACCATCAGAAGATGGGGGCTTCAGGTTGTTAATTAACCTGCTGCCGTGGCTGTAACTAAGTGACACTAACGAGTCTCCCAGTGTGAACTGGGAGGGTATGGCACAGGCATGGTTTGGCAGCAGTAAATGGATTTCGATGGGGCTGGCACCCCAGCGCCTTACCACACACTTAGGAATCTTGCATATATATCAAAAAAAACTGCAGACCTGGGTGGCAAAATGCTGTTGGTGATGGAAAACACCTGGATCACTTAAAAGCAAGGGAGCTTCATGTGAATACCAACCACGTTGAGGCAGCACAGAGCTGGCAGGCCAATAAAGCATCGCCTCTGGATGGGGAATGCTGACTCCTAATGAGGCTTCAGCCCAGCCCACTATGCTGACATCTTTAAGGTTTTATTGGGATGGTTGGAGGAGAGGATCAGCTCCTTTCAGCCATTACTCAACTGGGACCAGAAATCCCTGTGGGAAAGAGGGTGGGGGAGCCGGTATTTCCCCTCTGAGCCCTGTACAGTGCCGCTCACCCTGACTCTGATTGCCATTTCCTGAGCTAAACAATAGCAAGAGAAAATCCCCTGAAAATGGTTTCACAGTGAGAAAACACAGTTTCCATCCACGCTGGCAATGAGCACAGCAAAGGTAGCCGGATGGGCTGAGTTCTCATCAGGGCTGAATCCTGCCTCGTCATCTTCCCATACCTGCATGGCAGTGGGGAAAAATTCCTGGCTTGGCCTCAAAATCAACCAGATTATGTACAAAGAGGTGGCAGAGACTCTGCCAGGGCTGCACAGCTTGGAGCAGGCTCCCTTATCAGCAGAGACAGAGACTTGTTCCTGGGCACTAATTCTTATCTTCCCATCACCATTAAGATACTGGTCTTGGAAAGAAAGGACAAAGCATTATATTGAGGTCTCTAAACCTTAGGTGAATGGGGGAAAAAAAAGACTAAAAACCCCACAAACAAAAAGCCTGGTGTTTACTTCCACCTTACTGCTTTCTGGGTGACTTGGCAGCAGGCATTTAGGTTTTTAGAGGTTGCACGTGGCTTTTGGATATGACGTTTTTCCCAAGGAGAAGGGAAGATGCTCTGATGACTCAAACAAACACCGGAAGCAGGGAGATCCAGGAGCTTTTATCTGTTTTCCTTCCAGGTCCGTTAGGAAAGTGACACTCTGTTCCTCGAGATGTGAATGAGTCAAGCTCGTCACCGCAGTTGGTTACTCAGGCAGGGACTCAGCAGCACGATGAGGAAACTGTGGCACAGAGAGGCAAGCCAGAACGGGCTCCTGGAGATGCAAAACAGCTTTGCACAACCAGCCCCTCATCGTAGGGACCAAAAACAAGGTCCCCTAGGTCTGGAGCTGTCCAAGGCTGGGGGTGCCCCTGCAAAGGGATGCCCCAGTGTCAGTATCTGAGAGCTGCACAAAGTGCCCTTGTCCTTGGGCAGTGGTGCGTGCCCGCAGGGCCAGCCACGCGTTATTCATGGCATTGGCATGTGATTCCCGGCACCGGTGGGTGGCTGGGGCTGACCCTCACGTTGGCTGAGGCCCAAGGAGTCGAGGGGCAGCTGCACTGTGCCAGCAGCCAAGCTGTGCCATGGGGTGCTGCAGCTTTTCCCGGGCCGTGGCACTGCACAGAACTCCCAGCACCTTCAAGATGGGTCTTGCCAACAGGATGAAACCAGATCTGATGGTGATTCTCACGGGAAAGATCCATGCCAGATCTGTTCTTTGCCAGCCACTGGCAGCCGTCCCTTCCCACAAAGGCCTGGGGAGAAGCAAGGGGAGGCTGGCACAGGCGCCTGCCAGTGCCTGGGGCTCCTGAGACAGAGCGTTTTCTTAGAGCTGGGTCTTGACATTCAAACCTTTTTTTAAAATTTCCATTTCCTAAAAACACCACAAACAGAAGTATTACAGTGAACTAACCCAGCACTTCCTCCAGTGCCAGGGCAACACAACACCTGGCTGGCAGCACGCAAAGCCTTGTGGCTTCAGCAGCAGCCACACTCACTCTGCAAAGGACCAGGTGCACCTACACTGGACTGAGGCTGACGTGACACAGCAGCAACGCAGTGCAAGGACATCTCTGGCCACAGGGATACAGACAGTTGTCCCTGCCACACACTCCCACCACACAGTCTTCTTTGAGAGCAACCCCATTTCTCCTCCTGCACATCCCCCTTCCAAACCACTCCTTTGGGTATCAAGTGGCTCCCAAAACACCCTGTCCACTCCCAGCTCTCATCCCCACTGACATGAGCAAGGTCCTCATCGTCTGCCTGTGCTGCAGGTGCCAGGGAAGGGAGGTGCAGAGCAGTGCAAAGCAGCTCAGGACCACCCCAAACCAGGTTCCCAGGTATTTGGCACAGAAAACAAGGTGCTGGAGCCTAGTGAGGGCAAAGTCTGCAGCATCCAAGGAGCCAGGTAACAGACTGTGGGCCTCCCAGATTCCTGCCAAACCCCAGCTGTCGGGTGAGCTGATGGGAAAGGACTTGGTGAGTCCAAGAGCTCCTGAAAAACAGGCGCCAGCAGGCTGTGCCCAGCTGGTCCCGTGCAGACATTGGCACGCTGGGAGCCACCCAGCCTGCAGTCTGCAAACCACACAGCCCTGACCCTGCACCCACGGGTGCCACCGCAAGGTGCAGGCATGGCCAATCCCCGGGATCCCCGTTCAGGCAGCACACAGTTGCTTGCAAACCTGTTACTCTGCAAATAGCAGCCCCCAGGCCGCAGGATTAAGAGCTGGACTGCAACCAAGTATGCAGCATTTTCAGTCCTTGGCTTAATTCACATGGGAGCTGTGAAGCCAGCGAGGGACACGGCAAACCCCACTGTGGCTGCAGTCCCAGGCTCAAAGGATTTGGGATTTGCCCCCCCGCCCCCATCTCTGAAACACTCCTGGCTCCCCACTGGTGGTGGAGCTTGGGTGGAGGGGGGTTGGGGGTGGGAGGGTTTCTGCAGCCCTCAGACCATGAAATGAGCTTTGGCTGCCTTCCCTCCACAACAGCCATTCCGACTTGGTGCCAGGAGGTTATTCCAGGAGACTTCATTTCAATTCTCCTGCTGGTCTCACTGAGTTCTTTACTGGTCTCTCTGGAGGGGCAGCACAGACAGTGGGTAGAGAGCACCCCAAGCATCCTGCATCCCATATCCTGCACCGACATGCCAGAACCGGCAGCAGCAAACTGGGAGGTTGCAGGAGGAATCCCCGCAAAAGGTATTTTAGGGAAGGGAGATCACCCTGTCAAGACATGCCAGCGATCCCATGGGATGCTGCACCCTCCGCCGGGAGGGAGGAGAGGAAGGAACGGGGTGTGCTGGTGGTTCCCATAAAGTCGCAAGCAATGGCCACACACCGGCCGACGGCCGGGGCTTCGTGGAGCTCATCTCTGCCGCTGGCAGCAGCCCGGAGCAGCCGGTCCCGGGCAGCCCAGGGCTCTTCGTGGCTCCATGGCCCAGGAATCCAGCCTGGCCGCGGGGCGGGCGAGTGCGAGTCCCATGGAGCAGGGATGAAGGTTGGTTTCACAGATAACTGGCACCATGGCCACGAGCAGAATCCCCGGGCCGTGCCCAGCCGGACACATCACAGCCACCGCTGAGCCCCCGCACCGGGACCGGGCTGCTGCTGCAGCCCCCCATAGCGACCACCCGCTGCATCCCTCCAGGCTGCTCCTGCCCGGTGCCACCGTCAGCGCGGAGCCCCCGAGCCCCGCCTGACGCCCACCCTGGCACTCCTGTCCCGCCCGGAGTGCCGCAGCATCCATCCCCTCGCCTCCCGGTGCCGGACCGATGCCCCTCAACGCGGCCTCTGGGACCCCCACGGCGGACACCGGGCTCCCCGATCCGCCCTCGTCCCCGGCTCACCGCTCCCCGTTGTTCCCATACCTGCAGTCGGAGCGGGCTCGGTTCGGCACCGCCCGGCACCGCCCGGCTCCGCTCGGCTGGGCTGGCACGGCTCGGCTGGGCTGGCACGGCTGGGCACGGCTCGGCACGGCTCGGCACGGCTCGGCTCAGCACCGCACCTCGCAGCCCGGAGCAGCGCCCCGCCCCGTCCCGCCGGCGGGCGGTGACTCAGCGGGGCGGTACCGGGACCGAGCCCCCCTCACCGACCCCTCCGAGACCCCCCGAGCCGCGGGGTCACCGCCGTCGGTCACGGCACCTGCCCGGTTCTGCTCGGCCCGGTTCGGTTCAGCTCGGCACGGCACTCAGCGCCTCGCAGCCCGGCTCGGCTCAGAGCGGTATCCCGGGGCCAGCGGCCCCATCCCGTCCCCCGGCGACACCCACCGAGATCGCTGCGGGGTCACAGCCCTCGGTCACGGCACCTGCCCGGCGGGCACCGCCACCGGCACCGGCAGCACGGTGGGCCGGGGCACTCGGCACCGGGCGCGCCGCGTCCCGCCGCCCTTCACTGCGGGCTGGCGGGCGTCCAGCGGGGGGCCGGGCCGGAGGAGCCGGAGCCAGCAGGCTGCACGCCTGACTGCCAACGGGATTAAAAAATAACAATTAATGCGAAAGCAGCCGGGACGGAGTGTCCCGGTGACCCCTGTCCGGCTCCCCGCAGGGTGTGAGGGAGGAAAGGAGCCGGGCAAGGAGCCCAGATCCAGGAGAGGGATACACAGCACTCCCCTGCAGCAGGTGGGCTGGGATGGAGAGCCGGGATGCGATCGCAGCGGCCTCACCACCCACCCCAAGGCTGGAGATGGGCACGCTGCCCCCAGTGGGAGCTGGGGCTGGAATTGCCGAGGCAGCGCTGCCAGCAGCGCCGGAGCCCAGCCCTTTGTGTGTGCCCCGGGAGAAAGCCGAGACGCGGGCAGGGCCGGGGGGAGAGCTCCGGGAAGTGCCCTGGGTAAATAGTTGTTCTTGCAGATATTTTCAATAGCTTGAATGAGACTTTTCTTTCTGCAGTGGGGGGAGGGTGGAAACAACTTCCCGGCCCAGCCGGAAAGGTGATGGACCTTGATCCACGAGGCCTGTGCCACCGCGGGTGCCATGGCTGCTTTGGGATCCCTGGAGCAGAGGACATCCCGCGCGTTGGCCTCACCGCAGTGCCCGGTTGGATTTCCAGCTCCAAGCCCCGTTTCCCCGGCTGCCACGGGACGAGGCTCCCGTGGGAAGCGGCTCACGAGGCCGGGCCGTGGCTAAAGCGGCCGGACCGTGGCTAACAGAGCCGCCTTTGAGCTCCCCACGCCTCGGGGAGCTGGGCGAGCTCGGAAACACAGCCAGAGCCGCGGGAGCATCGCCGTGAGCCAAGCATCCCACTGTGGGTCATCCCGACCGCCTCTCTGGGGAAACGCCATAAATCCACCTCCTGGGAATAACTCAGCTACAACCAGAATTAGGCTCTCCTGGGGAGGGGAGTTAGGTGCAGACCCCTCGGACCAGCGAGGAAAGGGCTTTTTGCTGCTCTTCGTGGAACAAAGAGTCTTTTGTCTGCATTCCATGCTATCAGGAGTTATTTTTAGGTCAACGCCTGCAGTTGCTGGTGTTGTCGGGATTATCTGTAAATCGACAGACCTTCAAAGACATTGCCTGAGCACGAAGAGGGAGGAAATCCTTGTGTTGTCTCTTGGAAGGGACATTTGCCCTTGGGCTCGGCCTGATAAGGGTTTATTGCTTGAACTGGGGAATTCCTATTAGAGCCCTTCAACTTTTATTTAAGAGTCCTAAGAGCTCCTAAATCCATTAAAGCTCCTAAATATGCTTAAAGTTCCTGAAAGTCCTAAAAGATCCTGAAAGCTCCTAAAGCCCTAAAATGTCCCGAAAACCCTACAACACCATAAAAGCCCTAAAACCCCATAAGCCCTAAAAGTTCCTGAATATCCTTTAAGTTCCTAAAAGCCCTAAAAATTACTAAAAGCCATAAGAGTTTCTAAACATCTTGAAAGTTCCTAAAATCCCCAAGAGTTCCCAGAAAGCCCTGAAGCTCCCAAAACCCTTTCATTTTCCTTAAAGCCCTGAAAGCTCTAAAAGGACCTGAAGACTTCCAAATCCTCTAAAAGCCCTAAATCTTCCTAGAAGCTCCTCAAGGCTCCGGGAGCGTGCCAGCAGATGGAGGGGATGGGCAGACTGCGGCAGGAGTGGGCACGTCGCACCGGGCTGATGCCAAGAGAGGGAGACAAGCGTGGGCAGGGCAGCCCTGGCACCGTCTGCAGCCCTGGCACCACTGCCAGGCGCTGCCAGCCCCACTGCCCAGCCGTGCCAGGGTGCCCAGACCCACTCAAAGCCTCTTGGGTGTTGCCAGCAAAATGCCACCATAAACAGGGCTCAGCCCGGCTGCGGTGGATGGAGGAGGAGGAGGAGGAGGAAGCAGAAAGGGGCTGGTGGAAGGGGATGCCCCTAGATCTCTCATCCAAATCTGGTGAGCAATGCCAGGACAGCCTTGGGAATCTCGAGGGTGGTGATGCTGGGGGAGTGCCTCAGCTACCTTTGAGCAGCTGCGGGTGCTCCTGCTTCTCCCTTGCTGCTGCCCCACCTCCCTCAGCCTTCCTCCTGGAAAAACATCCGCTGGGGAGGTGGGTCCACCGCACCCCACCTCGGGATTTCTCCCTCAACGATAACAGCGACACAAGGCAGTAAAACCTGAACCCGTAGGCACAGCAACAAACCCGGATTATTTGTTTAGGCTCGGCTTTGCAAATAAACCCCCGATGATGTCAGGGAAGTCTGGGGGAAAATTGGTCCCTGCTGGTGTCTGCACAAGCAGCAGGTGAGGATGCTCCCGTGGGATGCACTAACTAGGCTCATCAGCTCTCCAGCAGACAAGTCCCAAAGGCAGATCCCAAAATGGAGCCAAGGTCTTCTCCAAACCTTCCATTTCCCATGTGGATTTAGTGTCTTTCCTAGCTGCTTGTTTTCCCAAAATCTGTAGCGTTTGCTGTAATTCCACAGCTTTGATCCTGGAGCCAAGGCTGGCTCTGAAGGCACCGTGGTGCCACCAACCTTCCTCTCCTGGGGAGAAAAGATGGTACAACCCCTCCAGCAGCCCGGGCCTGGCCTCCTGCCAGGTAAGGTGCCCAGAAATGGCAGCATTTCTCCTTGAGAAGATGACAGGGCCCGGGCCCTCTCATGCCCATGCCCAGGTGCTGGATGGAGCCAGCCCTGGCACCGTGGCACTGGTGGGGTGGGAAGCTCAATCCCAACCCGTGCTCCTTGGGGGCCTGGGGAGTGCTCCAGCCCTGCTCCTGGTGCGGCAGGGTGGGAAAAGGTGACCCCTGGGCACCAGCAGTGGGCTCAGCTACCCAAGAACCAGCATGTCCCACCAGTCCCCAAAAGGTGTATCCCCCTGGGGACCACCCAGGGGTGCTGTGTCCCCGCTGCCAGGAGGAAACCACCGAGTGGTTGTTTTCCAAGTGCCACCAGATGCTGTGTGCTCACACCACAAACCCCGAAATGTGCAGATGGGGAGATGGCGCTGTTGAGGCAGGACGGGAATGAGAAGGCTGACCAGAAGGCTGCTGAGAGTAAAACTCCGATTTATTCAAAATACACCGCTCTTTTATACAGAGCTCCGTGAGGACCAACTCCATTGGTTCTGAAGTGAAAATAACCCACATTGGTGCTAAGTGCTTGACACACAGTGATAGAACTTAACTATAAACAATGTGAAAAACAAGAGAGATAAAGAATTATTAACATTCTTCTCCAGCTCTTCTGCTTCTGCCTGGCTAGAAACTCTCGTTTCTCTTTGACTGAATCTGAGTCCCACAGGGAGAAAGGGCACGCAAAGCGCTGGGATGTGGCTCTGCCACGGTGGGGCTCATGGAGGAGAGGCGGGCACTTGGCACCCCACCAAACCCGCAGGCTCTCAGTGAACAGCCGAAATCCCCGCCGGGGCGGTGAGCCATGCACAGCTCATCCCCGCCCGGTGACACCGGGGGCACCGCGGGCCCGGCGGGCGGCAGGGAGGGGACACAGAGCCCCGGGCCTTTGTCCGGGATGCCGGCAGCCCTGACGGGAACGCTCGGCGCTGGCTGCCCTTTGTGCCTGGAACAAAGAACAACAGCGAGAGGCTTCCTTCGCTGTCCAGAAGCGGGAAGGAGCCAGAAAGGGAAAGGTCACTCGGCAGAGATGGGCAGTGTGGCCGGTGGTGCTCGGTCCTCCGCCACCGGGCCAGAAACGGGCAGCACCAGCTAGTGGCACCTCTCTGGCTCACCCTGCAGGTACAAGCGTGGGGACAGTGGGGACCCAGATGTCACCACAGGCGGATTTGCCATGCTGCGATGCTGGTCTGCATTCCAGCAGGCGGAGTGGGATGTCCAGCTCCAAAACCTCAGGCATCAGGAGAGGAAAAACCCCGGTGACATTTCCAGGTGATGTCCGGTTAATGCGGATGCACCACGGGCTCAGGACCGACTCGCTGCCCCCAGCTGATGGATTTAGTCCCTGCAATTTGTCCTGGCTATTTATTTCCTCAGGCTGGATTGCTTCAACTCCAAAAGTGTTTGGTCACCTTGAGGAGTTTTGCTTGGCGTCTGCCTTCCTCAGTGAGAGCGGGAGGAAAGCCGAGTATCAGTTCACTTACTCACTTCCCATCCTCTCCTCCACCCAAACTCGTCTGCCCGATACCAAGACAAAGCCGTGCTCACCCATTTTCCCACCGCCCCAGGGCTGCAGGTGGGCTCCATCCCTCTGCTGGATTTGGGGCGAGAGGGAGGGCTTCTAGTGTGATGCTGTCGTGCGTGAAAACCCAGGGTCCGGGTGGTTTGGGGATGCCACAGCCTTACAGCCACTCCTGGCAGCCTGCAGCCGTGCTGGCACCAAACGGATTTGGGGGATGCAGCCGGAGATCTCCCGCTTTTGACCGTGCCTTGAGAGATGCGCAGCGGCAGCTCCTCAAGGGGGCTCAGAGGTCCCCTCCCGTTTGTCAGGGGACACTTGGGCACCGCTCACCGGCACCGCATCGCCCCCGGCCGTCCCTGCGCGTTCATATCCCCAATCTGGGACCATTCCTGCGATCCTTGTGCCATCTAGTGGGACCTGCCCCAAGCACACGGCGGGGTGTCCGAGCGGCAGCAGAGCCCGGCCAGAGCTCACCCGGCAGCGGAGGAGACCCACAGGGACAATCCAAAAGCGCTTCTAAAGAGAAGCAGACCACCCTTTAGCTGGTCGCTACAGAG